ATCTTCATTTGATTTGATTGGTAGTAATATTTTCCATATTTCGGGAATGAGTGATGAATCATTTCTATTGCATGTGTTGGGTGTAGATTCGATGAACCAGGCAGGATTCAGTAATCAACCTCTCTCCATTCCCACCTACCTAGATTACTTTTTAGAATTTTAACCCTCTCCCACAATGTTATTGTGCGGTTGTGTGTTAATGCACGCAGTGTAATTGCTGAGCTTACTTATCTTCTCGGGGTCAACCATTCTTACCTTGGCTAAATTCTTATGTTGTGACAATCTGACTACACCTGACCTACTAGTTTGGCGTATGTAGTTGACCAAACTCACAGTCATTGCAGGGTATTTTGTAAATTATATTATTTTGTCTAATTGGGTCAACCGACAGGGTTCTTTAACCTACAGAGCTTGTCCCTGAGTGAGTTTTTAGGTTTAATACCTTGATATGATTATGAGCAGTAATAAATTGTGCTCGATACGTCATCAGTAAACAATACTGTATAACAACACTGTGAGACTTTATCAAAACAAAATTTACCCATAATGGAAATCTCAGTGTGCATTATTCAATTATGTGGCCGTTTATCATGTCTGTTTTTTCCTTTTTTCGCTGCTGTTGAAATTACTTATTATTTCAGGGTTGGTGGTGGTGGTGGTTCTTGTGTTTCTAAATGTCTCTCTCTCTCTCAGCTTTCTACACTCATAGGTGGTGTTTAATCAGCTTCCATTTAATGTCTATCATCCCGTATGAGTGAGTATTCTCACAGGTGTGTATGGTTGTGGCGAGAGCTGGCTGCTAGCCAATGTTGGTAGACGACAGTAATTGACGTCAATGTTTATGTCCCCAATATTGGTGGTGAAAAGATGAGAGAGAACAAAGGCTTTGCGTAGGCGGATACAGTTAGCGTATGGATGATCTGACACAGTCACAAAGAGATGCAAGGTTAACTTTCTGTGAGTACAACCACCAATCAAAAGACTGTATTTTCTACTAACAATAATAATCTACAATAATGTACATGAAAATCTATAAATATGTGTTGATTTTCCTTAATATAAACGATCTGTTGCCTGACTGGCCCTTGTCTTCTGTTGTTACATGGTCAGCGTTCAACAAGCGCCGCCTACAAGCGAATTCTAATGAAGAAAGAATAATAATGATGATGATGATGCTGAGGGTCGACACATCACCACGGTGTGTGTTTTACCGACCGAATCACACCATTTGTCTCAGTGCTGTTAGCTGGATTACATTCATTCATTCAAGTTTAAATAACAAACTACAATGTCTTCTCAGTGTACCTGGACAAGTATCCCCCAGATCTCTCACAACACAGTTTGTGCGTCTCACATCTTTTAGTGCCCCTACAATGTACCAAATTTGCGTTTTCAGTAATCATAATAATAACAATTATAATACTAATAAATACTGTCGATTCGTTAAGTGTAAGATCCATGGAATTACAGACAGCAATTCACGAAAGATGCATAAATTATAATAATAATAACAATAATAAGCATAAAAATGTAATAGCAAATAGGATACATATCAAATAAAATTAAGAGGAAATTTCCACAACAAATTGAAGATGATCATTAAAGAAACCTTTCATGACCAAGGGAAGGACAATGTGTGAACTAGCTTCTTTTTTTGGATTTATAACTTTGATTTTCTTAATGAGGGGATCCCAATAGGTCTCAGCAATAGGTATTTAGACAATTTGTTAAGGTAACGTTAAGATTAGTCAGTGTAAGCGATAGATGGATGACTCTGAAAAAACCTCATGAACATCATATCTTGTGTGTTCTTTATATCCACGAAATGCGGTAAAGAGTAGAGCTATGAATGGATGGATTTAGTTTGTCCTTTACTTAATCCTAGTCAATGCAAGAACTGGCGCGGAATTATGCTCCTGTCCATCCCAAGGAAAAAATACTAAGCCGCAACATCCTGGAGAGAATCAAACACGGCGAGCTGGATGAAAAACTTCGACCGGAACAGGCTGGCTGGATTCAGGAGAAACAAGTCATGCATTGATCAGATCGCCACATGACGGATCATCATTGAACAGAGTTTGCTTGGAATGGCAGTCACCTCTCTATCTCACTCAACTTCATCGACTTTGAAAAGGCCTTCGATAGTGCAGCGTCAGTCAAGAGGTGATTTGGCAACTACTTCGCTACTACCACAGGATGCCACCGACAATTATACATCTCATCCAACAGCTAGTTGTACGACAATGCTGCATGCCGCCAAGTAATCCACAACGGGAAACTTACGGAATCCTTGGAAGAAGTAAAAACGGAAGTAAGACAAGGAAGGCTGCCTGGCTGTCTACTACCGCCAATGATTTTTGTCATTGCAGTAGATTGGATAATGCGACAAACAGCGGGCAATGCGGAAACAGGCATAAAATAGAGTCACACAAAAAGAGACTTGGAGGATCTGGACTTCGCCGATGATATATGTCTGATTTCTCACAAACTGGAAGATATGCTAGCGAAAAGCAACAAGTTGGCAGAATAAGCATCAAAGATAGGAAGGAGTTCAGGTGTACATAAAGAAAAAAGAGATGGTGAAGATTCCTGGGCAACACTACCAACAGCGACAACAACAACAACAGTCAGTATAAATGTAAGGAACCTGAAAGAAACAACCTCCTTCACCTACCCACCTGGGAAGCATTGTTTCAACTACAGGCCGACGGATATCAAAGCAAGGATCAAGAAAGCAAGACAAGCTTTCTCTACTCTCAAGTCTGTGTGGAGGTCAACAGCACTCAGCATGAAAAATAAGATCCGGATCTTCAACTCCAATGTGAAGTCAGTGCTACCATACGGATCAGAGACTTGCACTGCGGGTCATAAAGAGCATCTCAAACAAACTGCATACCTTCATTAACAGTTGTCTTCGCTCAATACCACTCAAGATCAAATGGCCAGAAAAGATCAGCAACAGGGATCTCTGGCAACGAGTGAACCAACCCAGCAGGAACCGATTGTGCAACAGATAAGCAATAAGAAATGGAGATGGATTGGCTCTACTCTGAGGAAACCATCAAGTGAGTGACATCACTAGACAAGCCATCGCTCGAGTGGAACCCGAAAGGGAAGCGGCGAGTAGCTCATCAGTGCGACGGTGACATGGGGTGGAGGAGGTCATGTGAAGAGGAGATGAAAACGTGTGGGTAGACATGGAGCCACGTGAAGACTCTAGCAGAGAACCGAACGCAATGGAGACGTTTGGCTGAAGCCCTATGTTCCTATGCGAATTAAAGGAAACAGTATTAATAATAATAATAATTTACTTAGTCGGGATTATATCGGGAAATCTGACGCCTGATTGTACGGCGGCCTATACAACTCACTGGCTCCATAGGATCAGTTCAATTAGTAGATACACATAAGAGAGGCGATGTCAGGCAGTTTATCTCTAACTCCCAAACACCAAAATAGGGAGGGTGGGGGGTGAAGACACAGTATAATTCAGCAGCACTGAATACTCGTCAAGATTTGACGGAATAGTTCTAAAATATTTGGGCGCCGAGTGAGAAGTAGACATATTTGTACAATTTGTACAATCCTAAAAGTAGTAACTGTGTTGGCATCTCTATTTCAATATTATCGTTATATCTTTCTATCCAATTTTGTTAAATAAATAGACGTAGTTGTTGTATTTTTATGCATATCAGAACTCTGTAACAAATTCTATCGTGTCTGTCTGTTTTCGATATAGAACCACTTTGCATCGATGTGCACCAGCTCCAGTCGCCACACTCCCTCCATGTAGCACACAAAGGAAAAGAAGAAAGCAGAATAAAATGCATAATAGAGAGACAGTAAACAGAGGTGCGGTGAGACAAAGGAATAGTAATAACAAAGAACACAATATAGTTTCATTGGAAATCATAAGTCACAAGGAGTGGATGCATCTGCGTCAGCCAGCCAGCCATTCAGAACGATCACTTTGAGCCATATCATCAACAGTTGTTTCCAGCCTTCATTGGTTTTCACCGTCATCCCGAGGACCCCAACTAGTCAAGAAGCCAGTCTACACCTTCCTACGTGACTTAAACTAACTGTTGTGGATTTCATTGACCGCCGCTAGCTAGCTCTTTTCCAGCCTGACCAATCCTATGTCAACCAGCTAACACTGCCCATTGTCGAGGAAGGCGATGACTAAGCATGCATGCATAACATATGTCCTAACCATCTCAGTCGATGTAGCTTCAAAGTCTCATCGATTGATTTCCCCTCCCACCTACCTAGCACTCGACCGACACCTCACCTCAGTATTGCTCACCTTATTATATCCCTTCACACGGGAGATAGAACGCAGGCACCTCTGATCAAAGACAGCTAATCTTTTCACGTCTTCTGCTCTCAATGGCCAGGTCTCACTCACGGCCATAAAGGAGGACGGAGCGGACTGCTGGCTGAGCAGTACACCCACCCTTTGGTCGACAGCCAGTCAGCCGGATATCACGTCTACGAAGCCAGAGACGGCGTAAACTGGCGGGCATATGTGAAACTAGCCCTATGTGTCCGTACCCAGCTGAGATTTCCTCAGAGATCAACCCGTTAACGTTGGGGCTGATGGTACTTCGCAAATAAGTGAGCACCGGGTTCGAGCCTCCGTGGTGGGAGCATCATCATTCACTGAGGAATGCAGGTACATCCAGCCAACTGACGAGTCCCAAATAGGACCGGTGAAATGCGCCTTATCCTGGACTGGATTCCACGACTGCTAGTCACCATACACCAATTAAATTCTAATTAAATTAAATGCCCAGACACATCGTCGTCGAAGCATATCCGCACAAAAAAAGCCAACACAGACAAGTCAACCCCTGAGACCAAGCACACTTCAGTCCAGTTAATCAATCAATCAATGGACGGGAAAATCTAAAATTCAATTTTTAAAAAATATAGAAAAAATTACACCATTATTAATAATTGAACACAAAGAAAGAAAGCGTCTAATCGCGCGCACTTACCAGGATTATTAACCATTTGGTAACATAAAGCGTGCATTAAACATAAACTTACCCATTCTATGAGTATATTATGCACAACGATAATAAAGTGGTGCAGCCTTGAAATAGTCCATTCAGCTGTTTGATGACGTATATAATATTTTGAAGATTTGCGCCGATTAGCTCCATTTATTGAGGAGTCTAAGTGTAAGTGTGGTTGAATCCCAGTGAACAATATGTCCAACTGCCAACTACGACGATGTGTAAATGGATCGAAATATGGACGCAGGATTATTTCATGAACATAATTCATCAGTGGGACGATGCCTGTCGGGTACCAACTAGGCGGATTGAAGGGTATGCTGTAAACAAAAAAAGAGGAGAAACAGATAATGGAATCGAAATATGTTGATGAGACAGTCATAAATTAGTCAGAAAGTATGTAAGGAAATGTAAAAATAACATAAATAATGATAGTTGTAATAATAATAATAATAATAATAATAACAATAATAACGACATGCTTGTCAAAAACACACAAGACAAATCCAACAATAAGGGATCTAAATCAACAGTAGTAATTCCATACAAGTAAGGAACCTCGTAGAATTCTTAACAAGGCAGACAGGAATAAAAGTGGCTGCTGGCATTCAAACCAACCACAAACTCAATTAGAAACAAGCTTTATCGGTTTAAGGATCAATCCTGTGGTGCCTTTAACTGACAAAACAATTCAGTTTATCTAATACCCTGCGTGAGATGATTGTCAGATCAAATACATTGTAGGTTAAAGTAGCAGAACAGGGCCAGTCAGTGAGTCAGACTAGCCGAGCAGCATAAACACCCAGCAGCGAAATCTACATCGGTTGACCCGAATAAGATAAGAAATCTGGAGAATAGTTCAGCAGCTATCGCAAGCACTACATGCAATTACACACACACACAACCATAAAATAGGCTGGATGGCATAGGATGACAGTTTTAAAATCTAATACAATCAACAATGTGTCGAGTGGGGAAGATTGATAATGGAAGCTTTCTTTATCGAATCAACTGCAAATCAACACGTGTAATAGGAATGATTCAACACCTGTCCAGCCAGATATCTGGAGAATTCTACTACCCCAATGACGACGACAAATAGGAGAGAACAAAGAAGACTGACTATAAAACTCAAGTTTCGAAGTCGTGTGATTATAATTGGTGATGTGTATGATTATGAACAGCAATAATGATGAATTGTGTTCGAAACAACTTTGTCATCCAGTAAATACTAATACTGTTTCACTCACTCATTGACTGTGTGATACATCCATCTAATAAACAAACTAATATGGAATTACTTACTACCATTACCACAGTGCCCAAGTTTACACATATATTAAAAGCCATTTTAAGCCAGAAAGTAAACTTGAGAACGGGAAATTGAAGGACATCATCAAGTAGCTTGATATGTATTACCGATATGTCGATGATACATGGATTTGTCTTAGCTGATGGGAATGTTAACATAGACGAATTGTTGCTGAAATTCAACAACGTCCACCCTTCGCTTACTTTCACTTGCGAAGAGGAGCAGGATAGCGAACTACATTTCCTGGATGTCTTGCTAAGTAGGCGAGAAGATGGGTCACTTGGGAAATGCGTGTTTAGAAAAAGCACATTCACATGGCAATACACACACTTCCTTAGTTACGTGCCCATTCGATATAAAAGAAATGTTGTTAAATGTCTTGTGAGCAGAGCAAGAAAGATATGTACGAATGACCTCTTACAAAAGGAATTTGAATATATTCACGGTTCCTTGACGGAGATGGGTTGGCTATCCGAGTAGTTTCATAAGAAAACACAATATGAAAACATCAGAGAGAAAACCTGAGACCCTAACTGTACGTAGAAAAACCTCTATTTATCAAGTTACAATTTAATGGTGACTTGTCTGTCAAGTGAGATTTTATTCCAGACACTTTCCAGGAGTATACGGAGAACGTTTCACGCAGCATACCTATGTGTTTGTCATTCTCTAACCTACGGATGATTGGGATGCAAACGAAGGATAAGCTAGATAGAGTTTCGCCACACATCTATGTGCATTTATCAATTCAACTGCACCTGCGGTGACAGTTATGTTGGGCACACTACTACTAGACAGCTTAGCCAACTAACATGTCACCACTGAACATCTCCCATCATCATGGTTTTGCAAAGGACAGATAAAAACAATCCGTAGCTCAATTTTGTCACATTTAGATGATAATGGCCATGTAGTGGAGAAAACGAGAGCTTTCAAAGTAATTCATCGCATATCCCACCGAATCTTTCCAATAGACTTCGTATTCGTTCGTCTACTGTACACACACAGCTGAGGCAGGCGATAGGCATTCGAACAACTTGTAAACCTAAACCATGCCTCCATTCGAAAGAAGTTCGTACACGGCCATTATCCCCCCTTCCCTTGTTGGCCTATTAAGACATAACCAACTGATGACTTCTACACCATCACACCTTACTTACTTATATTTTCAACCCAACTCTCTTATCATCCCTTAATCTTATCACAGCTTCATTAAAAACGTGTTTCATTTACTTCCCTTACAGTCAGTCTAACATTACTTATTCAGTTCATTTGCTTTTACTAGCCTATATCGACTACCACGTCCACTTGAACAGTTGTTTGTTTATTCATGCTGTTTTTCATCAGTATTCGTGTTATCACAGATTGCCTCACTTTTTCATCCTTATTATTGATAAAACCATTATTATTATTATTATTCTGTGGTGTGCTTAAAAAATATAATATACTCAAACACCAAAAAACGATCAGTTGAAAGTTTTCTTTGAGTGGTAATATCCATATCCAAAATTTAATGTTGGAGTGCTCGTTTTCCTTGATAAAATGCGAATTCCTACACGATTTCGGTTAGTATTATTATAATACCAAAACACTTTTGAGAATTCAACAATGAGACACTTTTCTTTATTTAAAGGAAAATATACACACATTTTCACAGCTTCGTTCCTCTGTCCAGTACAAAAGAAATTTAGTAAAGACCGTCACTCGGCCACAGAGTTAGTTAGAGCTATATGCTCAGAAGAAGTAATTGAAGATGAATTAGGCATTGAATATGATACTTTGATAGATCGAAAGTAGCTATCCCGACAAATAGCTATCAAGAAACACATGACAAAGAAAGCGGCGGAAAACGACTACTCACTATCCGTCCGTGAACAAGAAGCCACTTCATATACGACTACAATTCAAGGGCGATCGTTATACCAAGTGAGATAATTACGAAGAAATTAAGAAAATCAGTTCAAAGAACTTTTAATGCTGGCGGCGAACTACACGTCTTATTCTCTACACGACCGATGGGGATTCCTCGACTGAAAGATGAAGTACCTAGACTAGCTGGTCACTTCAAATTGTATTTATCAATTGAACTGCGCTTGTGCTTGTGGAGCGAGTTATATTGGCCGTTGTTGCTCTAGGATTTTGAATTTTCGTGCTCGCTCGCTCGAGAACATCTCCCACTATGGCTAAGTAAAGGTGTGTAGTGAAAACCATCATGAACATTTCGATATTGGACCATCTGGTGCAAACCGGCTGGCCACAAAGCCCGCCAGCTAACATTGAAGAATTGACGAAATCATCATCGAAGCACCGCAACAACATGCAACAACATGAATGTTGTTGTTCATAGCACTAATTCATTCACCATAATGGAAGGATTTATATAACTGTAGAGCCTGATGATGACGTTATCGAAAAGAATATTCTTTGTTCAGTATCCATCCATTCTTTTGAAAAATAATCTACCAAGTAAGACATGTACATGCAGGAAGTATGATAACTGACTGACCTGGTTATTCCGATTGTAGGTAAACAGCCTGACCCGTCATAATGTATCCCAGTATGTTCAATTCCTGCACACGAAAGCTAAATATTGATGTGAAGAAGAATAAAAATCACCTGTTCTTAAAATATGCCAAGAATATGGTCTTTCATGACAAAAAATTGTTTTTAAAACACACTGAAAGTTAAATAACTTAGTCAAACTACAAAAATTGTTTAAAAAAAAACACAAAATAATTGAGCCAGCAAAAAAATCCCTTCCGATAAATTCATCCTCTTCTTTCTGGTTAAGCAAAGGACAAACAAAATCTATTCTCACCGCTGCTATTCTATTCTGTCTCAATCATCTTCTTGTGGATACACAACACAAGACTGATTGATGTTAACAAGGCGGCGGCTTTCACGGTCATTTACCGAATACCAACTAACAAATCTCAATTTCGCCTTAACAGTTCGACTACTAAATATTGCTGAGGCTGGCTGGCTGGCCGTGTTGGGATCCATATTAACAAGCCTAATTTGTGCATCCAAAAGAGAAGTTGGTTGGTTCAGACATTATCCTTACCAGCTTGGCCATCTAGGTTTGAATGATCGATCCTGAAGTTTTGTGGAATTTTCCTAATTTTAGTTGATATTCTATTTCCTACTATATCTTTATTATTATTATTATTATTATTATTATTATTATTATTATTATTATTATTATTTAAGCATCTTCAATGAACTGTGGTGATTCCAATTGTGATCTTCCTTTACAAATCGATATTATGCAAAAAAACACTGATATTGTTATTGACTACTAATCTAGAATATTCTATGTATATTATATTGTCATATTTTATATATCACTCGTAGTGAACAAGTTCATATTTGGCCATGCATGTGAATACTTTGGGCTATAGTTTTCCAGTTCCCGTGTGAAGTGGTATAATAAGGTGAGCAATACTGAGGTGGGGCATCGGTCGAGTTCTAGGTAGGTGGGAGGGGAAATCAATCAATTGATTAACCTGTGAAATTACATCAACTTAGACAGTTAGGACATGTGTAACGTATGCGTGGCCTAGTCATCGCCTTCCTCCACAATGGGCAATGTTAGCTGACATAGGATTGGTCAGGCTGGAAAAGAGCTAGCTAGAGGCAGTCAAACCAAAACATGGCTTCACCAGTAAATGAATAAATCCACAACAGTTAGTTTAAGCCAGCCAGCCAGCCACGTAGGAAAGTGTAGACTGGCTTCCTGACTGGTTGGGGTCCTTGGGAGCGTGAAAATCAATGAAGGCTGGAAACAATTCGTGATGATATGGCTCAAAGCGATCGTTCTCAATACATAGCGCAGATGCATCCACTCCTTGTGACTTATGGTCTCCAATGAAACTATATTGTATTCTTCGTTATTACTATTCCTTTGTCTCACCACACCTCTGTGTTTACTGTCTCTCTCCCTATTATGCACTTCATTTTTACCTTCTTCTCCTGCGTTTTGTGTGCTACATGGAGTGAAGGGAGTCGGTCGGTTTTCGACGTAGAACTTTGCACATATGTGCGGCAGTTCAAGTCGCCACACTCCATGTAGCGCACAAAGGAAGAGAAGAAAGTAGAAGAAATGCATATTAGAGACAGTAAACATAGGTGAGACAAAGGTATAATAATAACGAAGAACGAAACAGTTTCATTGGAAATCATAAGTCACAAGAAGTGGATGCATCTGCGCCACTGAGAACGAGTTTGAGCCATGTCACCAAGGGCCCCAACCAGTCAGGAAGTCTACGCCTTCCTACGTGGCTTAAACTAACGGTTGTGGATTTCATTGACTGGTGCCATGTTTTGGTTTGACCACCGCTAGCTCTTTTCCAGCCTGGCCCTATATCAGCTAACATTGCCCATTGTCGAGGAAAGCGATGACTAGGCATACGTAGCACATGTCCTAACCATCTCAGTCGAAGTAATTTCACAGATTCGTCGATTGATTTCCCCGCCTTACCTAGCACTCGACGCCTGACCTCAATATTGCTCACCTTATCATACCACTTCACGCGGGAGATAGAACGCAGACACCTATGATTGAACACAGACAATCTTTTCATGTCTTCTGCTCTCAATGGCCAGGTCTCACAGCCATAAAGGAGGACGGAGCGGACTGCTGAGCAGTACACACGCCCCTTGGTCGATAGTCAGTGAAGGGAGTGTGGCGACTTGAACTGCTGCACATTGGTACAAAGTTCTTTGTCGAAAACAGACAGACAGACAGACAGATTAGACACACATCATCAGGAAAAACAACTGAATGTACACAACACAAAACGCATTGTATTATTTCATTGTATAACTAACCAACTAACTTACCTCCATTGTCAGATAACTAGTGATTAAATTTTCGCCTATTCTTGAGAATAAATGAGCTAATGTTGGAACAATAGCTTGAGGTTCATCCAATCTGGTTGTTGTTGACTGGTGGTCAATAACACTCCCACTACTACTACTACTACTACTACCAGAAATTGTCTCAGTGTCGTCTATTCCATGTGATAATTTAATTCGATTCAACAGGTCAGTTAAACGCGATGAACGTCCACCGGCGATATTTGATTGAGCCTTCTGAATACAAGCACATAATCGTTGCAACTGAAATCGAAGAAAATAAATATGAAAATAAATTAAGAAAGGAAAAGAAAATGTAGCCTTAATACTGTGGATGATGAGTTATACATCTTGAGGAAAATCCTAATAGAAAATGGATTTCCACCACGTTTTATAGATAAGAATATACCATCACATCCTAAAAAACGTGACTTATCATCCACACCCAAGAAAATACTTTACATGAGCTTGGAAGTCAAAGGTGACTTAGCTTCTGATATCATCATGAAAAGAAGGATATCAGAGTCCCTGAAAAGAACATTCCCTGTTGCATCTCTGAGAATAAATAGCCTTTACTAGTCGACCATTACTTTTCAATAACCTGAAGGACAAGATCTCGCTGTTGACCAACTCTATGTGGGTGTTTATCGATTCACCTGCTCGTGTGGAGTTAGGTATATCGGTCGTTCGACTCGAGTTTAGTCCAAAAGAGTGCTAGAACACTATCCTGCAATGTAGTTACGAACAGATGGAAGTAGAGCAATAAGAAGCGCGATCATTGAACACCTGGTCGATAATGATCACCCAGTTATCTCTATAGCCTCCGTTTTTAAAGCCATATACAAGGCAAAGAGTAATTTACCCAAATCCCTACGTACCCGACTCATCTGTTGTATTGCTGAAGCCATCTCTGGCTATCGAAACAGAGAAGCCAGATCTCTGTGTACAGAAAAAGTTCGTCCAGCCCCTCCAACTTTCATGGTCTTAATCCCTCTATGCTAAAGTATGGTAATCCCCAATCATATTTTACCTCTACCAATATTCCATTTTTTCATTTTTGTCTATTAATTTGTATACTCTTCCTTATTACGTCAATTGTTACTAATATTACTACTCTCACTTTGAACTGTCCCGTATTATTTCACTTGTTCCACTTGTCATTCAATCGATTCTTTTAAACACTATTATGTATTATAATACGTACGTTTATTATTCGATTTGTCTACTAATCTTATAATTACACACCTTTTCAAAAATTAATTTATCCAATTATATGCAACGTCGACCACTGTATCTCTATCACAGACAGGGTATCACAATGATGAGTTAATTTATCTAACTTGTTATGATCATTCATATATACAGAAATATAGAAAAAAATTCATTTATGAAAGGTATGTTAAGACTGAGTACGTGATTTGTAAAAGTTGCTTAAAACTGTTTAGCTAACACGCTAATACTTCGGTATATATTCAAAGTATTAAAAAATATGGTCAAGATATAAGTAGATGATACTTTTGTAGTGCTAAAACGACATCTACACAGTTCATTCCTGGAGATGACAAACTGTCTATCTCCCAGAATCCAGTTTACCTGTTGCTGATCTTTTCTGGCCGGCTATCTGATCTTGAGTATTGAGCGAAGACAACCGTTAATGAAGGTATGCAGTTTGTTTGAGATGCTCTTTATGACCCGCAGTGCAAGTCTCTGATCCGTATGGTAGCACTGACTTCACATTGGAGTTGAAGATCCGGATCTTATTTTTCATGCTGAGTGCTGTTGACCTCCACACAGACTTGAGAGTAGTGAAAGCTTGTCTTGCTTTTCCGATCGCCGAAAAGAGTCTCTTCGCTGAACGCCTTCTTTTCAGATCCTTGCTTTGATTTCCTCGTCAGTTGAGTCCGCTTTTAGTTGAAACGATGCTTCCCAGGTAGGTAGTTAGGTAAAGGAGGTTGTTTCTTTCAGGTTCCTCCCATTTACGCTTGCTGATTGTTGTCTGTTGTTATTGCTGTTGGTGTAGCCCAGGAATCTTCATCACCTCTGTTTTCTCCATGTTCACCTGAAGTCCTATGTTCTCTGGATGCTTCTTCTGCCGACTTGTTGCTTTTCGCTTGCATATCTTCCAGTTTGTGGAAAACCAGACATATATAATCGGCGAAGTCCATTTATGCCTGTTTCCTCATTGCCTGCTGTTTGTCGCATTATCCAGTCAACTGCAATCAGGAAAATCATTGGCGATAGTAGGCAGCCAGCCAGCTTGTCTTACTCCTGTCCTCACTTCGAAGGATTCCGTGAGTTTCCCGTTGTGGATTACTTGGCGGCATGCAGCATTGTCGTACAACTAGCTGTTGGATGAGATGTATAATTGTCGGTGGCACCCTGTGGTAGTAGTGAAGTAGTTACCAAATCACCTCTCGATCGAAGGCCTTTTCAAAGTCGATGAAGTTGAGTGAGATAGAGAGGTGACTGCCATTCCAAGCACGGCGTTATTTACTACTTATGAAATGATATGAGTAGGCGAAGTACTAGTCAGCACCAGACAGACATGATCTAAACACTGGATGGCCATCTCACTTGTTTGGAGATGAGTTTATCATATGGTACAACTGTTGTCCACTGCTTAGGTAACTTTAGCCTGGCCGTCTAGCAAGCACTATTTAATGATGTAAGTGGCATTTAGCTACTAACTTTAATCATTTAGTAGTATGAACAGAGTCTTTGAAAAATTCATTCTGGATAAGATTTTATTTTGATAAATTGTCACACAGTGTGTGTAGTGTTATACAGAAATATTAACTGATGCGACCACGTTTCCAGCACAATTTATTATTCCCACTCATAATCAGCATATCAAGTCACTCACTCACTCACACAACTTTCGTTTTCCTTCATTTACATACATGTGTGGAATTGATGATTAGACATTTGAATACAAATCAATAATATAGGATAATGTACATTCAGAAATCATAATATGAGTGTTATTGATCAATTACAGTAATAAGATGGGAAATAAGACGAGTGTTTCTTTTATAGTCAAAATAAGTAACTTGTTAGAATGTTGTGATGTACGTGAATTGAATTGAAATAGAATACAATTCAGGATTATTTATTATCCTCCTCTGATTTGACTGACTGACTGACTGACTGGTGGTAATAATGTCTTCCGTATTTCTGGTATTTGCACTGAGTCATTTCTGTTGCATTTGTTGGGTGTAGGTAGACTGGATGAACCAGCCAGGATTCAGTAATCAATCAATCTCTATCTCCACCTACGTAGATTAGTTCTTAGAATATTAACCCTCTCCCAACATGCTTTGTGTGGTTGTGTGTTAATTCATGCATTGCAATTGCTGAGCTTTTTTCTAAATTACTCATCTTCTCGGGTGGGGTCAACCATTCTTACCTTGGCTAAATTCTTATGTTCTGACAATCTGACTACCCCTGACCTACTAGTATGACCTATGTAGGTAGTTGACCTAACTCACAGTCATTGCAAGGTATTTTGTACATGATATTATTTTCTCTAAATGGGTCAACCGACAGGGTCTTACAGAGCCTGCAGAGCTTGCCCTACCTGAGTGAGTTAGTTTGTAGGTTTGAATGCTACCACCAGCCTAATTCCTGCTTTATTCAGAAACCTACATAGGGAGTGAGTGTCTCAGAGGTCCCCTCCCTCCTTATAGGGTATAACAATGGATGACTTATATTCTCTCTTATTTATCTTATCATTACTAGTTTCACAATTATTTTTGTTTTGATTTTGGCCTTTTCTGATCTTCCTAATGAATTTTATAGGATAGTTAGTTATTTGACACCAACGCTTCTTCCTCTGTCTGTTTTATTTCATCATTTAGGTCTTTTCTTGTACTGCTTAGTGCTACTGCTCGGTTTGTTAGACACTTAACTAACTCTGTCTTACAGTTAATAGATGAATGAGATGAATTAAAATCTAAATATCTATTAGCACAATGCGTTGGTTTTTTTGGATGAACGCTGATGTCCACTCTACCTTCTTCTTCTATTCCTTTTATTTTACGACCTAACAAACATCTCAGCCAATTCTGCTTGTTCGTTTTCCGATTCAAATGTGAATTTTATTCCCTCTACTAGTGAGTTTATGCGTCTGTGTCAAGAAGCTAGAGAGAGATCTGTTCTATTTTTAACACTGTGAGTGAAAGTGTCAGTCATCCACATATCTCCATCATATTCTTGGAGTAGGATTAAGTAAATGTATTGAGAGCCATATTTTCCCAGTTGTCCATAAATATGTCTGCTACGATAGGGGATATTGGTGATCCATCGCATTACTACACCTTCTGTTTGTCTATATAAATTTTGCCTTGGAATTTAAAGACAGTGTAGATGTGAATGTGGCGCATAACTGAATTCCTAAAATATTTCCAACAGCCTGTTGCAGACCTTTATCAACAACAACAACAACTGTCTTCGCTAGCATCATACTGAAGATGGCCAGATGGCCGGAAAGAACAAGAACCAACAAGAAACTATGGGAACAAACAAACAAAACAAGAACCAATCGCTCAACAAATGTGCAGGAGAAAGAAGTGGAGATGGATTGGACACTCGCTGAGGAGGCCGCTGCTGGGTGACATCGCGCGTCAGGCCATCGCTCGAGTGGAACCCGAAAGGGATGCGGCGAGTAGTGGAAGGGCCAAGAGTGACATGGAGGAGATCGTGTGAAGAGGAGTTGAAACAGTATGGATTAACATGGATACAAGTGAAAAGTACAGCAGAAGACAGAAGCAAGTGGAGGCGTGCAGTTGAAGCCCTATGTTCCACCAGGAACCCAAGGAAACAATAATAATAATAAAAATTAAACCATTTAGACACACCACCTAGTGACAGCTTCATTCTCCATATGAATTCCTGACTCAATAAATAAATAAATTGTCTTTTTAAAAAAAGCAAAGAATAAAACGATTGATGAAGATTTTTTTTGTAAATTTTTAAAAACCAGAAACTTACTGTTATCGATGGATTATTTGACCAGACAATATCAGGTGAAAGTGGTGTAAAGTGGGTCACTCGAAGAAATAATCCTGTTTCACTCGGATGTTGCCCAACAGTTGTGGAACTTACGTCATTGTGGTTATAGACAAGCACCCCTTGCGAATTCGTTGTAATACTCATATAGTGCTCAGGTAGTGCACGGCAAACAATCAAATAATACTTGTACTCAACATTCAGTGGAGCCAGTATCACTTCACAGGCGATATAATATTCATTGTTTGGAAACAATTGAGCGAAGAGGATTGGCCAACGACATGATTGTTGCATACGGATCAACATTTCAAACCAGGGAGTTTTTCCCTGGACCACTTGATCTGGAGACAAAATCAATGGGAGATGTCGTTTAAATGGATGCCAAAATGGTCGATGGATCTTGGCTGTTTGCATTAACCTCGTCAAGCCTAAACACAGTCGAAGATGTTCCAGAGACTCAGATATCATGGAACGCCAACGAACATCACCATGGGCTAGATTACGTAGACTTCTTGATTGGATCGACGAAATACGATCACTTTCATGTGAAGAAGGTTGAACTAGACCTCCTGAGGCGGTGACAACACGAACACGATTCGATGAGGCTTGATTGAAAGCCGACTCCAATGAGCTGAGTGCATTGATAGCACTGGAACGGGAAAAATCTTCAGAAATACCCGTAAAATTAGATGGAACATTGACTGGGGAACTCATAGCACCGAATTCCGTGTCAAGTGAGGTGAGAAGTGGAAAAGAAGCGCATATAAAACCCTGGACAGGATCTACACGCACTAGTAAGGATTCTTGTGATCCACATGGCCATAAAACTGGTACATAGAGGCATAATGGTGTGTCAGTTAAGCGTATAGGTCCCGGACTGAGGACAAGTAACTCTTGTCTCAAATCCTGCAAGGGAAAAATATGTATATATATAGTAAATGTGGAATACACATTTTGATAGCATTATTAGAAAACGGAGATTATCTGAAACATGTGATGTATATGCGCTATACATTTCGAACAACAATCTCATCACACACATTTACTTGTCAAGTCGCAACCAGCTTGCATTTTTAGACATACTTCTGAGTCGAAGAGACGATGGCTCAATAAGACGGTCTATCTACAGAAAGCCCACTTGGACAGGGCAATACTTTAATTTTCACAGCTTCTGTCCATTACAATATAAGAGAGGCTTGGTGAAGTGTCTATTCAAGAGGATTCAGCTGATGTTATAGACAGAGAAAACGAAATATTGATGGATATTCTTGTTGAAAACGGGGATATCCTTTGAAATTTTTAAACAGGTGTAGAAGTCAACTAGCCCCCTTGAAACCTACAATCCATACCGTCCCTAAGAAAAAGGTTTTCATCAAATTACCATATAATGGGGAAATAAATAGTAGGATTTTGAGACAAAGGTGTTGAATTCGATCATCCGTAGAACCTACTATGCAGCCCAGCTTGTAATTGTCGAAAAGGCCAAAAATATGCTTCACTGGAAACCTCAAAAGTGCACAAGTGATTATATCACATCCCACTCAATTTACCAATTTTCGTGTGTGTGTGTGTGTGTGGACATACATACATAGGGAGGAGTAATCGCGCGTTGCACGTGAGGGTGGGAGAGCATATCCCAAAGCGGTTAGGAAAACAGATGAATTGTGACAAGCCAATAAATGCAGGTGCCAGACTACCAACTTCGTCTATAGCTAAACATTTAATCGAGATGAACCATAAGGTTGATGTATACTCAGCCTTTAAGGTCATCTATAAAAACGGTCAAGGACGTTTGCTGAAATACTCTGAGGCTATAGCCATTCATAAACTTAAGCCCCCATCCCCTGTGTATTCAAAAACAGTTTGTTATTACTCTTAACCTACCTCCCTTGGTAATCCTTATTTGATTGGATTACCAAACGTTTGTGTTAATTATTCATAATTCTTTTTTGCCACTTTGTTTAATTTAACTTTTCAATATATATTGACTTGACAAGTAAATGTGTGATCAGATAGATTGTTCGAAATGTATAGCGCAAATACATCACATCACATCGTTTTTCAGATAATCTCCGTGTTCTAATAATGCTATCAAAATTTATAAAAGAGACTAACTGTTTTAAATTTTTGAAAAGGAATACACATTGTCAATAATCACTAGAAATTCAATTTAACCGGTTTTGCAACTGGTTTCAGTGATAAACTTGCCTGCAGCTTGTTGAAATGAAGGGAAATCTCATTTTTCATTAAAAAAAAAACTCAAAAATGACTACCACTTAAATGTAAAAGAGTCACAGATTTAAACAAATTTTGACACCTGAATAATTCACAGACAATGAAACAACAACACTCACCCTTCGCTTATTTTTACTTGTGAAGAGGAGGAGTGGGATAGTAAACTACATTTCCTGGATGTCTTGCTAAGTAAGCAGGCGAGAAGATGGGTCACTTGGGAGAAGTGTGTATAGGAAAAGCACATTCACAGGGCAATATACACACACTTCCTTTCTTAGTTACGTGCCCATTAAATATAAAAAGAATTTGAATATATATTCACGATTCCTTGACGGAGATGGGTTGGCTATCCGAGTAGTTTCATAAGAAAACACAATATGAAAACATCAGAGAGAAAACCTGAGACCCTGACTGCACGTAGAAAAACCTCTATTTATCAAGTTACAATTTAATGGTGACTTGTCTGTCAAGTGAGATTTTATTCCAGACACTTTCCAGGAGTATACGGAGAACGTTTCACGCAGCATACCTATGTGTTTGTCATTCTCTAACCTACGGATGATTGGGATGCAAACGAAGGATAAGCTAGATAGAGTTTCGCCACACATCTATGTGCATTTATCGATTCAACTGCACCTGCAGTGACAGTTATGTTGGGCACACTACTACTAGACAGCTTAGCCAACCAACATGTCACCACTGAACATCTCCCATCATCATGGTTTGCCAGAGGACAAACGAAAACAATCCGTAGCTCAATTTTGTCACATTTAGATGATAATGGCCATGTAGTGGAGAAAACGAGAGCTTTCAAAGTAATTCATCGCATATCCCACCGAATCTTTCCAATAGACTTCGTATTCGTTCGTCTACTGCACACACACAGCTGAGGCAGGCGATAGGCATTCGAACAACTATTAAACCTAAACTATGCCTCCATTCAAAAGAAGTTCGTACAGCCATTATCCCCCCTTCCCTTGTTGGCCTATTAAGACATAACCAACTGATGACTTCTACACCATCACACCTTACTTACTTATATTTTCAACCCAACTCTCTTATTACACTAGAAGCATGTGAACAAAAAAATTACACAAATTTTAAAGCAGAAAAATGGGCTAGCTTCCGGGACAGAAGTCATCACTGCTGACAACTGCTGCCTTGTCGTGGTGGTCGGGGGGGCTTGAATACCTCAGTGACCCAACAAGCTAAACTGTGAGCGACTGATGTACCTGCAGGGCCTAACATGTTAGGAAGGTTGCTCGGATAGCGGTTAGACTAAAACCAGTTACCACCATGGGGTACATGGGCTCGAGAATCCAATTGGACCAAATGGCGTATGAACCTGTATTGCTTACCGGCAATCATGAGAACGTAACTACTGACGCTACTCCGCTGCCTTGCGGATTAGACTCCAAGTCAAAGGCTCGACGGGTGGTCCCTTAAGACAACCACCTGCTTCGGGCTAGACGCCTGGGCAGTACCTCAGTCCTCATGCAATCACTGGAATAAACTAACGAACCGCCAGTAAAACTATTCGCATGCCGATTACAAAACTCTTGAGCATTAATGATATTTCAAGTGATGCATTTCTCGTTAACCCTATTTGTGTTTTACTTTTGCTATCCTTGGCGTCTTCACTTCTGTTAGCCTTTCGCTTTTGTCTGAATTCTCAGCTTATCTGTGCCGGAAGCTTATACGAAAGTAAGGAGTGGTGGGCCAGATATGCGGTGCCTATTTGTTGTCTCTGTCTATGCACCGAAGAATTGCAGCCCAAATGCAATTGAGGTTGAGTTCTACTACCAACTGAGCGATCTCTTAAAACAGGTGCGTTGGAGAGATATCGTAGTGCTGGCTGTGGACTTGAATACACAGATCGGGCGTCTAAGCTCAAAGGAGGCTCGTCTAGGTGGTCAGTAATGTTTACATGGTTGCAGTTTAGATAGTAGGGATCGCCTTCTGCAGCTTTGCGCAGATCACAACCTATTTCTAGTCAGCACCAACTTCCATCACATTCATCGCCTGAGCGCTACCTGTTGACCTCCCTCTGCCAGTCAAGCTTGGACACAGATTGATTATATCGCTGTCAGTTTCCGGTGGCGAGAATGCATACAATGCTGTCACTCCTTCTGGAGCACATGCCTGGTCTCCGATCACGCGTTCGTGTGCGCCAGGTTCGTCGTGCGATTTGGTGGGGTTCATAAAAGGCGTCATCTGTATGTTGGTGTGAGCGAACTGGTATCACCTGCTACCTCTTTGAAATACGAAACTGAGTTACAATTGATGCTTGCTAGCAACCACCCAAGGAGTATATATGAAAATTGGCTTCATCTGCGAGGTGCTATGTAAATGGCGAGTGTAGCCGCTTGCGGCCTAAAAGAATGCTCCGCTAAAGCCACAGGGTTTCCGCGAGTTCCTTGCAACTCCTGGATGAACACCGGTCCATTCCGCTGACGCGCAAGATTAGACAGTGTTTACGTAAGGACCGCGAAGCCTGGTGGGCAGAACGTGAGTGTGAGATGGAGTCAGCTACTGCATCTGGCAACAGTTAGAAGCTGTTTCAGCTCATAAGAGCTACCAGCAGCAAGAAACAACATGTTAGCGAGACGGACTGTGAGATAGACGGCACTCTAATTACCAGCCTGAAAAGATGTCTGGAACGCTGGGTAGAGCCCTTCGAGAGGCAGTTTAGCTGGTCACCACGTTTAGTAGCTCCTTGTCCGGTTAGTACGGACCCACAAACAGAAGCGGAAGTTCGTAAGGAACTCCAAGTGTTAAAACGCCATAAAGCACCCGCCCCAGAAGACAATCTACCCCTGGCTCTTTTTAAAGATGGTGTCGAGACTCTCGTAATAGCTCTAACTGGATTATTCAGGAAGGCATTGGAGACTGAGAGTGTGCCATCCATGTGGAACGAAGCCATTATCGTCCCTATCTTCAAAAAGCAGTTGACGTAATTCATGTGATAATCATAGAGGTACCAGTTGCGTCTAAAATATTGGCTACACCTTTGCTAGCTGGCTCCATACTAAAGATCAAATGGGGCTGGCTGGCCGGCCAGAAAGAGTAAGTAAACAAGAAACTCTAACTGACAAAAAACCAACCAAGATCCGATCGTACAACAAATTTATCGTAGGAGAGGATGGATCACACATACGTTGAGGAGGCTGTCGAATGACGTTACGCGTAATGCACACCAACGCTCGAGTGGAATACAAATGGTAGGGGCGATGAGTGGGTTGTCAGTACGAGGGTGACGTGGAGGAGGAGATCGTGGAAGAGATTATGAAGAATTGTGGATCCAGGTTGAAGAGGATGGCAGAAAATAGAGGCGAGTGGAGATGTGTTGTTGTTGAAGCCAGCCTTATGTTCCACACGAAACCCAAGGGAATAATGATAATAATAATAAATAATAGTATGAAGCAGCTACAATATTCAGCATGACAGATTGAGTTTTCCATAGTTTGGTTTGTAAGGGTTAGTTATGTTTTGCTTTTACGAGTTGATCACGGATTGATATCAGTTAGAGAAGAATTGAAAACCAGCCACAAGGAGTACTGGACAGCTGTTTCATCAGCCTAGTCTGGGAATCATCGACAGTACGCACCCACCACAGAGGGTTCGAACCCAGAAGTTAGAATTCAATGAGCCATTGAATCGGGTCCCAGTAATTGCCTGAATGGTATACGAGCCAGCTTGCCTGGTTTCGAACACCCTGTGGTGGGTGCGTACTGCCGATGATGATTCCCAAACAAGGCTGATGAGACAGCTGGCTGTCTAGTACTCCCCGCAATGCAGGTTTTCAATGCTTCTCTCTCTAATTGATATCAATCCGTGCGTGATCAACTCGTAAAAACAAAATTGAGTTGCAAAATTAACTCACTTTGCATTTATTACAGCCAATTCAGCGAGAAGAAAAAAGAAGTTATAATAATAATAATCATAATAATAATTACCTGTAACATTTGTTTGGCTCGAGCGAACATAGTTTGTGTCAGAAGAGTTTCAATAGAAAGACAGTTCCCCTGTTGAACAACCAGAAAAAAAGAAAAAAAAGAAAAAGAGTAAATTACTTGTGTCAATTGATATAAGAATAAAGCTTGTGCACTGTGGTGGTAGAGTGTAATTTCATTATGGGTAAATTTTGTCTTGATAAAGTCTCACAGTGTTGTTATACAGTAATGTTTACTGATGACTACGTTTCGAGCACAATTTATTACTGCTCATAATCATATCAAGGTAATCACACGACTTCCTAAATTCATTTATATAGTTCCATTATTTTTCACTTGATTTTCACCTGATTTGATTGGTAGTGTTAGTATTTTCCATATTTCAGATATGAGTGAGAGGCGTTCCTATTGTATTTGTTGGGTGTAGACTGGATGAACCAGCCAGGATTCAGTAATCAACGTCTCCCTCCACCTACATAGATTACTTCTTAGAATGTTAACCCTCTCCCACCATGCTATTACGTGGTTGTGTGTTAATGCATCCAGTGAGAGATTGTAAAATAAAACGAATAAAAGAAGGATAACTACACACTAGCCTTTATAAAAAATCGACGCATTCTGCTAATAGCTATTTAGACTTTATTTCATCACCTCATCCGTTAACTGTTGAGGCAGGCTTAGTTAATTTAAGTGACTAACAAACCGAGCAGTATCACTAAGTAGCACAAGTAAAGACCCAAATGATGAAATAAAACAGACAGAAGAAGCGTTGGTGTCAAACAACTAACTATCCCATAAAATTTATTAGGAAGATGAGAAAAGGTGAAAAGCGAAATAAAAATAATTGTGAAACTAGTAATGATAACATAAACAAGACAGAATATAAGTCATCCACTGTTATACCATATAAGGAGGGGACATCTGAGACACTCACTCCCTACGTAGGATTCTGAATAAAGCAGGAACTAGGCTGGTAGTCGCATTCAAACCAACAAACACACTCAGGTAGGACAAGCTCTGTAGGCTAAAAGTTAAAATACCCTATCGACTGACCCAATTAGACAAAATAATATAATTTACAAAATACCATGCAATGACTGTGAGTTAGGTCAACTACATACGTCAAACTAGTAGGTCAGGTGTAGTCAGATTGTCACAACATAAGAATTTAGCTAAGGTTAGAATGGTTGAACCAGAGAAGATAAGCAATTTTTAAAAAAGCACTACACTACAGCACTACATTGCACTGCATGCATTAGCACACAACCACACAATAACATGTTGGGAGAGGGTTAAAATTCTAAAAAGTAATCTAGGTAGGTGGGAATGGAGAGAGGTTTATTACTGAATCCTGCCTGGTGCATCGAGGCTACACCCAACACAAGACATGCAATAGGAATGATTCATCACTCATACCCGAAATATGGAAAACACCACTACAACTACCAATCAAATCAAGTGAAAAACAATGGAACTATATAAATGAATTGAGGAAGTCGTGTGATTACCCTGATATGATTATGAGCAATGAATTGTGCTAGAAACTTATGTCAAGTTTTCTATAAATAGATCTTTTTTTTATTTGACGCATCAAGCCGTCCATCGACTAAGCAATATGTGTCTAGGAAAGATATAAGCGATTATCTTCTTCTTTTACAGACAGATGTAAGTGATATGCTTACACTATTCTGAACTTCATTCATTCGATTTAAAAAATGAGTTTGCCGAACAAGACACTGATCATTGATGATGATGTTTACAATATAATCCACACATACCACCTTCTATAAAGTGTCAGGCACATTTTCGATTAAATCCTCTGATGCATTCTCAATGTACAACATGGCGGAAATAATCGTCAACCGACCCACTCTACAACTCGAATCTAAGAAAGACGTGTACATCAAGTTACCCTATATGGGCGGGGCATCATAGCCGTTTGATAACTAGACGAAGTTGGAACACCGTTATGGTTTAAAAGACTTTTCATGCATCTAATATCATAATAATTGAGAATGTGAAGCTAATATATCCATCCATCTAAGCCTTTTGAACATGCGAAAAATGATGTCACATCCTCTCACTGTATTTACCAATTTGAATGTACATGTGGACACACATACATAGGGAGGACTCTGAAGGGCTGTCTTCAGAGTATATTCCTAAATGGCTCCAGAAACAAATGGAATCTTCGGGACCCATTAATGGTGAGAACAGACGAAGACCTAGCTCCTCTATTGCGAAACATATTGTAGAGGAGACAGGACATAAAATTGACGTTAACTAACATATCTTTTAAACTTATCTATCTATAAAAGCGTGTTTGGGGGAGGGCGTATGCTAAGGTTTGTGGAAGCTAGCCCCAGCTGTCAGTTAGGAAGTTTAAACCACCTTTATGCGTTTAAAATACTTATTTTATGCATTCAAGTACAGTGAATACATCTCATGTGTCTTCTATATAAATCCTGACCAATCATATCTCAGTGTAGTCATCTGTAGTGTGGGGAAAACATTAGTACACACATGTCTAGTGGTACCTGAACATTTTTTTTTTGGCTCAGAACTTGACTTCTTAAAAGAAAACCACGCTGGCAGAAAACGGTTACCACCCTAACCGACTTATTGACAGCAACATGAAAGATAAGATAAGCAGTCGAAACTGGTCACCGACTGACTCAGTTCCAAAGAAAACCTTCCTTATTCATGAACTTGGAATTCAAAGGCTTGATCAAGCTTCACATATGCTGAAAAGTTGTCTCTCTAAAGCAGTCAGTAAGACATTTTTTGCAACAAAACTACATATGATGTTCACCACCCGCAAGTTGTTCTCTGTCTCTTGTAAAAGATAAACTCCCCCGTCTGGCCGTCTCCCTGTGCATCTGTCAGTTCACCTGCTCTTGGGGAGCAAGGTACATTGGCCGTAGTCAGAGGACGATTTCCACACGGATACGAGAACATATTCCAGCATGGTTTTACAAGGGAGAAAGGAAGTGTGTGCGAAGCTCTATTCTGGAACACCTGTCTTGACTTCTATCACTCTGTCAACTCTGACCATGATTTTAAGATCATATACAGAATCCATGCTAACTTGCTGGCCGCGTTTTCTTCGTTACAGACTTCTAAAGACAGCTGAGGCCTTGGCAATTCATCACTTTAAGCCAGATGGGTCTTTGTGTACAAAAGAAGTATGTACAATCCCTACTTCTGCCTTGGCCGTAGAGGGATAGACATTTATTTATTTTGTTTATTTAGTTACTCTATGTACTTTTCCCTTATTACTACGATTATTATTATTATTATTATTATTATTACTACTCTCACTCTGAATTGTCATTCTAAACCCAAAATTATTAATTTCTATATTTTTTATTTTTACAATATTGAATTCTATCTTATCAAGCTTCACACCATGTTATGTAACATTTTATATTCGCCTCCTAATCTTATAATTATGTACCCCTTTCCAACATCTATACATCCTTCTTATGTATTATTCTATATATGACATTGATTGTTTCGCCACTTGACATCTAACTATGATTATAATCACAAATATTTTAATTGCATTTCATACTACTACTACTACCATTATTATTTCATGTATTCACACCCTTGACCGAATTCCCTTCCTAACCGGATATTATTTCTTAAGAAAAACCATATACATATACGATTGTACAGCTTGATAATAAATTCGTTTTTACGAGTTGATCACGGACTGATATCAGTGACCAGTGAGGTCCAATTAGATGTCACGTGTGTAGATGGATGTCCCACCAACGACGGCAATGGCTGGGGTCGCACTAAATCACGAATTGGTAGAAGTTAGAATTCATGAGCCATTGAATCGGGTCCCAATGGCTGAATGGTATACGAGCTTGCCTTGTAACCGGAAGGTCCTGGGTCCGAATCCCAGTGGGTGCGTACTGCCGATGATTCCCAAACTAGGATGAAACAGCGGCTGTCCAGTACTCCCTGATTTTCAATGGTTCTCTAACTGATATCAGTCCGTGATCAACTGGTAAAAACATAACAAACCCTTACAAACCAAACTTTAGAAAATAAATCCGTTGTAGAAAAGAGTCTCTTCGCTGAATATCTTGTGTTCTTAATACTGATAAACTACTACATCAATACTTTCAGCTGCTTTCGATGTTCTTTGGAAAGTACGTTACGTACGGACGCTGGGTTTTTTTGTTGATGTAATCGAGACAGTAATTTAAAACGGTTGATTTGAAAAGGTCTGCATTGTCATATGAGGTTGGGACCAGATCTTTCGTCTGATCAATTAAATTCCCGAATTTCACTTTCGTGTTCAGTTCATTCACTTTTGACATTGCATCACAAAACTTAGGTCCAAGTGCTAAGATTTGCCTTTGAATTGGAGATAGTGGTGGTACATCAGAATAATTCAACACGTATTTTTCTGGGCATATTAGGAAAGACGGTTTCTTTGGTAACGGGCTTTAGGCTTTGGTTTAGTTTTTATTATAACATCATCTGTTCTTTTCTTTGTAACTGTATTGGAATAGTTTTCGAATGATGTTCTTTCGTCTTCAGATATAACTCATAGAGCACGTGGGAGTTCTTTGAGATATTCTGTTCTAGTTCAGGTAGTCTTGATCGAACTGCGTCGATGTGATTCAGAGTGTATCGTTTCAGTGCACGTGAGTTAGGGCATATATGATTTCGTCTAAGATCCAAAGAACATCGAAAGCAGCTGAAAGCACTGAAGGATAATAAAAACTTGATCATCACACGACCAGATAAAGAAAGGCTCCGGGCTCGTCTTGATGAACAAAGCAGACTAACTAAGCAAACTCTCGGTGATACTATCTGATGATAAAAAGTTTCAGAAACAGTCTCCACAGAAAGATACTCTACATCAATAGTTTCAACAGATAACAGTTATTTTCCAGACAAAAAAAATATGCTCCACTATTTTAAATATAGAAAACAGGAGGAATTAGATTAATGGGGACTATGAGCATTCTGTCGAACAGGTGTTTAATTCCACAGGAGGAGGTAGTCAATAATCCTCCTCCTATTAAATCCAAATTACTGAATTTCAAGATAAAGAAAAAAACTCCATTTGATTGAATAAGATATTTAAAATAAACCATTTTTATTACACCTTTCTTACCGACATATATTCGAGTAATATGGATGTCCTGTGAGTACTGGACAGCCAGCTGTTTCGTCAGCCTACTTTGGGACTCTTCATCAGTACGCGCTCCACCCCACTGACAGGGTTCGAACCCAGGACCTTCTGGTTACAAGGCCAGCGAGCGAGCGAGCGAGCTCGTAGACCATTCATCAGCCACTGTCACCTGACTGGATCCAATGGCCAGCCAGTGCATGAATTCTAACTTCTGCCAATTCACGCACGACATAGCTAGCGCGACCATTTCGCAATGTCTTCCCCGATGAGTGAGTTACTGCCTCATCTTCAACCTTCTGTACCTTACTGGTCACAGCTTCCCACTACAACTTCAGGTCACTCACTGCCTATCTGAATGAGGCCAGTCGCTAGTGAGCATCGGGAGGAGGAGGAGGATTTCATCATGAGCTAACACCAGTTAGAGAACCACTGGAAAACCGAGTGGGAGTACTGGACAGTTTTTTAGTTTATGTTCACACAGAAAGTGAATTCGAGAAACTATAATGCTATAATGTATGACAAGAGGAATGTGTACAGGCATACATGCTGACACATGGGGACTTGAAACCACAGCCCTTCAGAAAAGACACATATTACTATAGCCAAGCATATATATGTAAATCCGAAAGCAACATCCTCCAGAGCAACTTATCAGATAGAGAACTTAATGTACACGAAACAGCATTACTTGAGAAAGGACTACAATTTTGACATAACTCGAAAACCACTGAAAGCGATAGAATTAGCTCCCATCATGGAACCTACACATATTGACCTTTTACCTGACGATGAAGCTAATGAATTACGTCAGAAGGTTGGATGTATCCTGTCGAATCAAAAAGCAGGGCATCCCAAATTTGTCGAAGAACGAATGTCATGCCTTACAAACATTAAGATCATATAAATCTATTGTTATAACTAAAGCTGACAAAGGCAATATCACTGTGATTCTTAATAAAGATGACTATGACAAGAAAGCTTTGGAACATACCGAAGCAGGTCCATACGCATTAGTACCAAGAAACAAAATGTTGAGTACTATGAACACAAAGTAAAAGCACAAGTATGCAATCTGCTTAGAGAATTGAAACCAAAACTAGGGAATTCAGTTTGCTTTTCAATAGCTCCCAAAACGAACACGGCAGCGAGATTTTATGGACGACCGAAAATCCACAAAAATAGATGTTCCTTTAAGACCAATAATTGATTTTACCAATTCAGTTCGTCCTTGTTGAGGACTCTTCAGCTCGCCTCGTAACCAGAAGGTCCCGGGTTCGAACCCTGTCAGTGGGGTGGAGCGCGTACTGCTGAAGAGTCCCAAACACTAGGCTGACGAAACAGCTGGTTGTCCAGTACGCCCTGTGGCTGGTTTTCCAATGGTCCTCTAACTGATGTCAACTCATGATGAGTGAAATCTTCCATGCAATCAAACAAAAATCCCTTTCAAAACCACTACTTGAAAATTAATATGGATGGATGTTTTTAAAATAATAAATGCTGTTAACCATTTTTACTTTTCAAACATTTCACATTTGATGTTTCGCATAAATTTATTCAACCAACCCAGCTTCATACTGTTGTGTAGTTAGTGTTCCCTACTACTACGCAATGTAAAATGTAAGATGATACTGCAGGATTGGACTTCACCGACTCCTAGATTAGAAATAGGGAGTGAAGTGGTCGGTGGAGCACGTTGACCGCTTCACTTACTTGGGAAGTACCATCAGCTAACGCCAGCCGGTTGATCTCTGACGAAATCCCAGCTGAGTACGGATACAGAGGGCTAGTTTCGCATACACCCGCCAGTTTACGCCGTCTCTGGCGTAGAAATGATATCCGACTATCGACCAAAGGGCAGGTGTACTGCTCAACAGTCCGCTCCGTCCTCCTTTATGGCTAGCTGTGAGACCTGGCCATTGAGAGCGGAAGACATGAAAAGATTAGCTGTCTTCGATCATAGGTGTCTGCGCTCTATCTCCCGTGTTAGTTGGTGGTATAATAAGATGAGCAATATTGAGGTTAGGCGTTGAGTGCTAGGTAAGGCGGGGAAATCAGTCGACGAGATTGTGAAGTTACTTCGAATGAGATGGTTAGGGCATGTGCTACGTATGCCTAGTCATCGCTTTCCTCGACAATGGGCAATGTTAGCTGATATAGGGTCAGGCTGGAAAAGAGCTAGCGGCGGTCAAACCAAAACATGGCACCAGTCAATGAAATCCACAACAGTTAATCTAAGCCACGTAGGAAGGTGTAGACTTTTCCTTGGTTGGGGTCCTCGGGACGGTAAAAACCAATGGTTGGAAATAATTGGTGACATGGCTCAACATCGTTCTCAATGCATAGCGTAGATGCCTCCACTCCTTGTGACTTATGATTTCCAATTAGACTGTTTTGTTCTTCGTTATTACTATTCCTTTGCCTCACACCTCTGTTTACTGTCTATATTATTATGCATTTCTCCTACTTTCTTGTCTTCCTTCGTGTGCTACATGGAGTGTGGCGACTTGAACTGCCGCACATATGTGCAAAGTTCTATGTCGAAAATCGACCGACCGACCGACCGACACAAACTTCAACACTGTGAATGGAAACTTTGAAATACATACATACACAGTAAAATCGCATCAAAGCATAAAATGGTCTTACTAGAGGATGGAACAACTTCTGTGTGTGTGTGTGTTTAACTTACATGTACTGTAGTTCCAAATAACTGAGTTAGAGAAGTGGAAATTTCCGGACGATGGCTTAGACACAGCGGTCGCCGAGGTTCTGTCATATCAACGTGGATGGTGAGCGAATACGCTGGATAAAAATAAAAATTCAAATCGAATTTTAATAATCTTACAGAAGAAGTCACTACTTATTACTGTTATATAAAGAAAAAAAGAGCATCATAAAGGAGTGAAAAACCAGAATTTTCACTAAAAAACTTACGAATAAATGACAGAAGATATGCTCACACGACTTCGAAACTTGAGTTCTATAGTTTTCTTTGTTCTCTCCTATTTGTCGTCCTCATTGGGGTAGTAGAATTTTCCATATATCCAGCTGGACAGGTGTTGAATCAGCCACCTATTTCCAGTTGATTCCATAAATAAAGCTTCCTGTTACATTACACGATGACAACACCAACAATAAGGAATCTAAATCATCAGTAGTAATTCCATACAAGGAAGGAACCTCGGAAACCACCTTACGGAGAATTCTTAACAATGCTGGCAGGAATAAAAGTGGCTGCTGGAATTCAAACCAACCACAAACTCAATTAGAAACAAGCTTTGTCGGTTAAACGATCAATCCTGTGGAGCCTTTAACTGACAAAACAATTTAGTTTATCTAATACCCTGCCTACGATGATTATCAGGTCAAATACATAGTCAAACTAGTGGAACAGGGGCAGTTGGTCAGTCAGACTAGCCGAGGAGCATAAAAACCTAGCAGCGAAATCTAGATTAGTTGACCCGAATAAGATAAGAAATCTAGAGAATAGTTCAGCAGCTATCGCAAGCACTACATGCAATTGCACACAACCATACAATAGGCTGGATGGGATAAGATAACACTTTTAAAATCTAATACAACTAACAGAGTGGAGAGAGGGAGAGATTGATAACAACGGAAGCTTTGTTTATCGAATCAACTGGCCAGCCGACCATCTGATCTTGAGTAATATTGAGCGAAGACAGCTAGCTGTTGATCAAGGTCTTTAGTTTGTTTGAGGTGCTCTTTATGACGCGCTGGCCAAGTCTCTGATCCGTATGGTAGCACTGACTGACTTCACATTGGAGTTGAAAATCCGGAATTTATTTTTCATGCTGGATGCTGAGTGCTGTTGACCTCCACACAGATTTGAGAGTAGTGAAAGCTTGTCTTGCTTTTCCGATTCTTGCTTTGATTTCCTCGTCAGTTGAGTCCGCTTTTAGTTGAAACGATGCTTCCCAGGTAGGTAGTTAGGTAAAGGAGGTTGTTTCTTTCAGGTTCCTTCCATTTATGCTGGCTGATTGTTGTCTGTTGTGGTTGTTGCTGTTGGTGTTGTTGGCCAGGAATCTTCATCACCTCTGTCTTCTCTATGTTCACCTGAAGTCCTATCTTCGGTAAATATGATAATAATAATAATAATGAAGAGTGGTTGATTTCAACCATATATTAAAATTCACTGACGAGAAAAATTAATAATAAACCACTCGGGGTGTTACGAGCGGAGAGGTAATAAACACTTACCAGTAGGATGTAATTTTCCATCTAGACTCATGATCGAATTATATTGAGTCCTGGCTAAACCATGCCAATAACAGATCGATAGACATCTACTAGGCCTATACGCTTCTATGGTGAACTGGTCCGGTGACCGTTTTGAACGTATCCGTTGCGCTTGTTCATGCAACATATCCAGTTGAAGTGATAAGCTAAAAGCATCTTCACGTATTCCACGGGGAAGATAATGTCATATTAAAAGAACTGTTAAGGCTGAAAAAAGCGCAAAATCATATTCTAAAAATTTGACATCTTTGGAAGTGTGTGTGTGTGTGGGCGGTTGTTATTTCCCGGCTGCCCACACCACCACTGTGGAAGTTGCTTGATTCTTCGGGTACCTGAATCAGAGAGAGAGAGAGGGTTAGTGTTGCGCGTGACCGCAGAGCCCAGTAGGGGACACAACTGCTTGAGCCAGGCCTGTCACACACACATGGCCTGTATGAACTGGTCTCTTGATTTGGTTCCATATTAGTAAACTTACCACCGGTTACGGACCACCGTAAGTGGGGTACAATTTTGGGGATCGACCTTTTCTAACCCCCTCCTCGTCTCCAGAGTGGAGAGACAGCATAGCTGGCTGGCATGCTGGTCATTTGAGGGAAACACCTCACTGCTGTTACACCCCTGTTCCCCAGCAGTACGACTTCGCCCACAGACCCCCAGCATAGCAGAGTGTAAGAAAGATTCTTACACTATGCCGGTAACTGCTTTTAGTCTAATCGCTATCCTAACAACCTTCCTGGCATGGTAGGACCTGCAGGAACATTGGTTTCAGCCAGTGTAGCTTGTTGGGTCATCGCAATGTGCAAGCCCGACCACTACCGCGTCAAGGTAGCAGCTATCGATCGGGCCTACCTCGACGCCCAATGTTAACTGACAAGAGTCAGGCTGGAAAAGACCTAGCGACCGTCAAACCAAAACATGGCTTCATCAGTCAATGAAATCCACAACAGTTAGTTAAAGCCAGCCAGCCAGCCACATAGGGAGGTGTAGACTGGCTTCCTGACTGGTTGGGGGTCCTAGGGATGACGGTAAAAACCAATGAAGGTTGGAAACTATTGGTGATATGACTACCTCAAAATTGCTCTCAATGGCTGGCCGGCGCAGATGCATCCACTCCTTGTGACTTATGATCTCCAATGAAACTATATTGTTCTTCGATATTACTATTCCTTTGTCTCACCACACCACTGTTTACTGTCTCTCTCTCTATTATGCATTTCTTCTACTTTCTTCTCTTGCTTTGTGTGCTACAAGGAGTGGAGGGAGTGTGGCGACTTGAACTGGTGCACATCGATGCAAAGTTCTTTGTCGAAAACAGACAGACAAAACTTAACATTCCAGGTAATAAAACAGGAGTATTTCGTCCCCCCCCCATTTGAACGCTCCCGAACTTTACCAGACCGTCATCTGGTATGTAACCAGAGAAACCGGTAACAAAAAAATAAAACTGGCCTATAGAAGACCTTGTAGATGTAGTAGTACCTTATTATCTGAAAACGCAATTTTTTGATTCGAAATACAATATATAAAAACACTTTTCTATTTTGATAACAGTCACTCTTCTATACAAGAGCGCTAGAAACTACTACTACCTTTATACAGGCTTCTTAGGTATGTTACAGGATTTCATCATGAGCTGACATTGGTTAGGGAACCATTGGAAAAGCAGCCACGGGGAGTACTGGACAGCCAGCTGTTTTGTCAGCCTAGTTTGGGGCTCTTCATCAGTACGCACACACCGCCACGGTTCGAACCGGTGACTAGCTGAATGTGCTTCAAAGTAGAACTTTGCACAGAAATGCAGCAGTTCAAGTTGCCACACACCATGTAGCATAACAAAGATGGAGAAAGGCAAAATGGAAATTTCGAAAGAACTATAAAATAACACAACGCAAGAGAGAATAGTTACACGGAGAACACACGAGAACTTAATGAATCAATGAGCTTACAAGGAGTGGAAGCATCTGAGGCATTGACAATGACTTTGAATCATGTCCTCACCAACAGCAGCCTCAGTCCATTGGTTCTTACACCAACCTCAAACAGGGGTGCTTACATGGCTGGTTCAAACCAACTGATGTCAGCCCCCTCCCCCTAACTCTTTTCCAGCCCAACGCTAAAACTGCTCGTGGAAGAAAGTTGGCATTATAGCATGAGTGACATACACACACACACACACATTCTAACCATCTCACAGATTGACATTTCCCTCCCTTCCTACTGATTGAATACAAAAATAAGTAATTCTTATTCCTGAAGACGTCCTGGAATTAAGACAGAGAGAAATATCTGATCTGCACGAGAAACCAAACTGATTCTTGCTAAAGAGGGTGAAAATATAACACATCAATGAATTTTTCACTCATACAAACCTACAACATTATAAATTATAAATGAGGGGAATTAGAAACTCAAGTTTATAGAAAATCAACTCACACAGACCAAATACTGAATTACAACAGCAACAATCCAGTAACACACAAAAGGAATTGCATACAAACACTATTCATCAAGAGGGTCACAGCCAGTCAGGACTCATTGCAGCAATCCTACCTTAAGGTAAATTGAAGAAAGATATCTCATGGACGTCTTCCAAAAGAATGGATGGATATCCACGGAACTTCATCAAAAGGCATACAGCCCCAAGCCGCCAACCTATCAAACCAAAAGCCCCAAAGGAAAGCACAAAGAAAATCGCCCTACCATAATAAAGGACAGCTCAGAAATCACTGCAAGACTCTTCAAACCAACAAAATCACTTCACTCAGCCAGCCCTGTATCAACTAAAAGACTTACCAACGAAAGAAGATAAAACCAACATCATCTACAAAATAAAAAATTGTAACAACTGCGAAAAACACTACATTAGCCAAAGTGGACATCCCTGCTCTTCGTCTTCGTATCCACGAACATAAGCTAGCCGTCAAAAGACATGACATGCACTCCTTCACTCATATCGCTTCACTGCATACAGACAACCACGGACATCAATTCGACTGGGACAACCAAACCAACGTTCAAATATTAGACAGAGGAAACAACACCAAGAATGCTAGCCAGAAAATTTTTAGAAGCCGACTGGTATTCCAGTGAATTATCAACCAATAGATAGACACATCGAGATTGACAAAATTTATCAACCGATAAGAAAGAAAACTCACACAAGCACACAAAGGGTCAAGCTCCAAGTCAAAGAAACAATACCAGTTCCAATACAAGTAGCCGCCTACAGGGGGTGTGAAAACACAAAAACAAACCAATCTCGTCCCAAGGTGATCACCGACCAGGAGAAATCTAAAAGCTCACTTCAACAATTGTAATTGAAGTGTATGCACTGAAGGAAGATGTCGCCTATTAGGGCGATGAAAGCTTCGCAAATTAACCATCCAGTTCCTCAGAGTACACAACGACATCAAAATCATCCACCTGAGCTACAAATCTTCTCCATCATATCTAAATCGCACTAAAATATATAAGGCAACCAACCAAAGTAAACTGGTCAATCACAATAGGAATAATAATTTCGTGCTTGAGTGAAATTATCGCTAACAAAACAAGCGATGATGCCTAACACATCTGTAGACTTTTGTCTGTAGACTTTTATAAAACAAAATCTTCAAGTTATATGACCATGTGATATTAGATAGTTGGAGGCAATCGGCGGCAGAGGAAGCCTTGCCTAGACTTAGGTTTCGTGCTAGTTGGCACTCACCAGTCAGTCAGTCAGTCAGCAAGCAAGGCGTATCTGCAACCACATTGAAGGAACAGCTCATGTCCCACCCATCTGAGATTCGAACCCACGTCACCCAGTGCCAACTGCAGTCTGGCACTCGCAAATGACCTCCTGTAGGACTGTAGTGGGTAGTTTGGTTGGACACTAGTCAGTAACTAGTGTGATGTGTCCGGCTAGTCCTTTCTTTGATGCAGACTGAATTCTATCAGTCAGTCAGTCGGTCAGGTTTGAAATGCAGCCACCATGCCACTAGGTGGCTAGAGCTCGCCATCACGGTGTTTTAAACTAAACAAATGTGATGTAGGAAATGCACTGGATCAAAGTAACAAAACAAAAACCACTACTACAATTATGGGAGAATAACACACACACACACAAATAATGCATAAAATCACTTTGAAAAAAAAAGAATTACACACACACACACAAAAGGATACGCAGCATGTCGTAAAGATGAACAAGTGGTGGACGTTTATCGAACTGACGATGAAGAAGACGTAACTGAGCCTGGTTAATGATAAGCCTTGTCTGAGCAGGATGGACAAGATCCTGATAATCTAAACAACAAAAAATACACAAAATGTGAAATTATAAAATAGAACGTCCTTTGTAGTAGTGAACTATCACGTCACATTCGTAAAAAAAACCACCTACGATAAGGCATATAATTAAAAATTCACTTTATCCTACAAGACTGACTGCTCGAGACGGTAGTATCAGTTTGTATTTTCAGAGAAAAGTGGTAACTATCATCAACAAGGCGTCGAATTTCCGAACATCATCCACCCTGCACAGTGGTTGGTTGGTTAAGTAAAGGACAAAACAAAATGTATTCTATCTCGTCTTGTGGATACAGAACACAAGACTGATTGATATCAACAAGGCGGCGGCTTTCACGGTCATTTACCGCATACCAACTAACAAATCTCAATTTCGCCTTAACAGTTCGATTACTAAATATTGCTGAGGTTGGCTGGTTGGTTGGCTGTTGGGATCCATATTAACAAGCCTAATTTGTGCATCCAAAAGAAGTTGGTCAGTTCAGACATTATCCTCACCCGCTTGGCCATCTAGGTTTGAATGATCGATCCTGAAGTTTTGTGGAATTTTCCTAATTTTAGTTGATATTCTACTTCCTACTATATCTTTATTTAAGCATCTTTAATGAACTGTGGTGATTCCATTGTGATCTTACTTTACAAATCGATATTACTATTTAAAAAGCATACACTAATATTGTTATTGACTACTAATCTAGAATATTCTATGTATATAAACATGCATATATAGATATAATTGTAGAGCGAGAAGGGTAGGAGGAATTTATCGAAAAGGATATTCTTTGCTGGCTCAATTATATTTTGTGTTTTATAAAGCGTATACAAACACGAACGGCCAACATTGACGTTTCTCATGGCTGTGCAAAGTTTCGCATTTCGTTTGAAATTTTCACGAAAAAGACAGAACTAAGCTAGCATTTGACATCTGTCAAGTGTCATAATACCTATCTAGATACACAATTATAAAGACAAGAATTTTTTCCAGCTTCGTAGAATTTGCAAACCAATTTACTTATGCAACAGGATTTCAATGGTCCATATTCGATATCAGCACTTAGGTAGGTGTCTTAAGCGAATATAAAATAAGCTCTCTGTGGTGCTTTTAAGTTTTCTCGACCTAGCTGGCAAAATCTATTGAAGGCAATCAATCATGAATATGTCACTAAATCACAGATTCAGGGAATTTCAAAACATTCGGCACTTAAAACAGTAAGTAGTATTACAGACTGTTCCGGGACCTATTGCCTAAAATAAATAAATAAATAATAATGCGTATCGGTCATATACAAACTTTTGTGGTAGGTTCAAATACTACTTTAACTACTTTTACATTGTAATCGCTGCAAAACGATTTTTAGAGATCCTATTATGTTAATATGGGTGTAAAACTTGGGCACTGTAGTGGTGGTAGTAAGTAATTCCATATTAGTT